GAAAGGGGCATTAGTGACCCCCGACCAGCATCTGGTAACTGTGGTGACGGCCTACTGCTGCTCACACTGTGGGTGTGTGTGAGTGTGTGAGTGAGAGTGTGTGTGAAAGTCAATGGAAATGTCCTTAAATAGACAAGTCACGCCTGGACACACACACACAGGCAGCAAACAGAGTCAGTGGAGTGTGTCTGGTCAGAGGAAACTTCCAGAAAAAGACCTTTTCATTGAGAACACACACACACACACACACACACACACACACACACACACACACAGCAGGAATGTAGCCTCTGTGGAATCGTTGAAAAGGTATCGTGTGTGTGTGTGTGTGTGTGTGTGTGTGTGTGTGTGTGTGTGTGTGTGTGTGTGTGTGTGTGTGTGTGTGTGTGTGTGTGTGTGTGTGTGTGTGTGTGTGTGTGTGTGTGTGTGTGTGTGTGTGTGTGTGTGTGTGTGTGTGTGTGTGTGTGTGTGTGTGTGTGTGTGTGTGTGTGTGTGTGTTTAATCTCCTGTGAGAATAACAAACAGACTTTATTCTGTTCTCTTTATCTCACATCTTATTTCTGATACACTCTGCTATAAAGGGTTCATCCCACCCTGCAGCACAAATAAAACACACACGGATGTTTTGGGTATTCTTGGAGTGTCAGTGTCGGCGGTCGTGGAGCTAAAAATGTTTAAATCAGGGTGGAGAAATCCTCCAAGAACATCCTCTCTTGGGAAGCATCAAGACATTTGGTTAATCCTATGAAGTCGCTCAGGGATTATAATAAAAAACACGTCCTAAATTCATTTTCACATGTGAATCAAATCTAATCAAATCAAAGTTTATTTATAAAGCCAAATGTCACCCAACGCGTTTGTCTCAGTGGACTTTACAGAATGAAACAAACAACAACAGGAAAGACAATAAGAAATACAATAACATTAAATAGCTTGAAATGTAGGAACCAGGAGGACGAACATTTTAAAAGTGCACACATTTATTTGATTAACTTTTTCCACATGTGCATTAGATCTCAGTTCTCACATTCATTACAATCATCTTTTTTAACATAAAAAATTAAATAAAACCACATTTTATCATGTGAAAATATAAAATATAAGATAATTCAGAGTTTTGTCTGCACCAACCGGAGCGTTGTGCCCTCAAACCAAAATGCAGATTTTCCCCTTAAAATGTTAACGTGATGCCAGAAAACAATATTTCTGTTCGTCAAAAACTGTATAATTCCTCCAGAAATCTGAGTATCAAACAGAGCGTCAGAGACAGCTTTGTTTTCACGGAGAATCATTATGGGATGGATGTCCGGTGGGTCTGCAGCAGCTGGCACTGAAACTGAGATTTCTGAGTTTCTTTTACGGTCCTTTTTTCTGTAGAGGAAGTAAAGAAACCGTAACTCTGGATTTATTTGTTGTTTGAGGTGCGATATGTGACTCAGAAGCTTTAAGACATGAAGACACTATTATTCTCCAATAACAATGTTCACTAGTAGAAATAAAACACTAGTTCACATCTGAAATTTGCATCCACACTGCTCTGAAATAATGCTGCTCCAAAAACAACTTAAACAATAATGAAAACAAGCTGTTTTCACTTTAAATAAGTACAAAAATCTGACAATAGAACAAGTGAACATTAGCTTGGTAAGAGTTCTTGAAATAAGAAGGGATATTTAGATAAATCACATCTTGTAATTAGCTGGCAGAACTCATTTTGAACTATATTTGACCAGAATCAGGACATGTTGTGTGACAAAATAAGCCGTGAATGCTCAAAAGTTTTCTGTGTTCTGATGTTAGTTGGTGATTTTCTAATAAATAAGTAAAGAAATATGTGTTTCATCTGAGATACGACTCAAAATAAGATTATTTGACTTAACAAGATGATGCATTGTCTAAAAACAAGACCTGATATCTCACTGCAGTGTTACTTCTGAAGTTATTATGTCTTATATCAGGTGGAGAGACATATTCTGACTAGATGTTAGACACATATACTGGGCAAGATTTTGAGTTTTCGTAGTGCTTATATTTGAATTTTCCCCATGTGACCTGAACCAAATGAGTTTCCCTTGATAATACCACATTTGCGTGAGGTGCTCACTTCCCTTTCTGTATGTTCTCTATTTATATAAATATCTCTAGAAAAAGGCGTTTGCATGTTTTTGGTACGCGCTCATCTGAAACTGTACTGTTTAGGAAACACTTTCAAAACAAAGGAAGCACACAAAGGAAGCAAACGTCCGCGACACGAGAGAACATCAGACCCTCGTTAAGGGAGTGGAGGATGTTTCTGTAGAAGTAAAAACATTGCGTCTCGACAGAATAACAGAAGCAGGAATGCAGTCTGCCGTGTTAGAAAATAATATTCTGTGAGAGTAATAATGAGTCTGCTCCTGAGAGGTGGTTTGTACAAATGTCAAATAAAACAGACACCTTTTGACAGCTTTAGACTCACCTCCAAAACGCTCTGGGTTTACTGGAAGCTGATCTTATCTGTTTGCACGTCAACTAACGTCGACTAACAGTATATTTTCATGTCTGTTGAAGGAAATGTGTGTCCTTTAGTTTGTCAGTAAACCGGTTTTACCCTTAGGTTAAACAGCGCTACATTTGGTGACTTACTGATTTATTGTTGATTCATCTCCACATATTAACACCACTTTATGATTTATGAAGTAAAAAGCTAACGTTAGGCTATAAAGGAACTACAGCAGGGTCACATGACTTCACGTCACCATCGCTAAGCTAAAGGTGGCTAATGTTGGGCTATAAAGGAACTACAGCATGGTCACATGACTTCACGTCACCACCGCTAAGCTAAAGGTGGCTAATGTTGGGCTATAAAGGAACTACAGCAGGGTCACATGACTTCACGTCACCACTGCTAAGCTAAAGGTGGCTAATGTTGGGCTATAAAGGAACTACAGCACGGTCACATGACTTCACGTCACCACCGCTAAGCTAAAGGTGGCTAATGTTGGGCTATAAAGGAACTACAGCGCGGTCACATGACTTCACGTCACCACTGCTAAGCTAAAGGTGGCTAATGTTGGGCTATAAAGGAACTACAGCACGGTCACATGACTTCACGTCACCACCGCTAAGCTAAAGGTGGCTAATGTTGGGCTATAAAGGAACTACAGCATGGTCACATGACTTCACGTCACCACCGCTAAGCTAAAGGTGGCTAATGTTGGGCTATAAAGGAACTACAGCAGGGTCACATGACTTCACGTCACCACTGCTAAGCTAAAGGTGGCTAATGTTGGGCTATAAAGGAACTACAGCACGGTCACATGACTTCACGTCACCACCGCTAAGCTAAAGGTGGCTAATGTTGGGCTATAAAGGAACTACAGCGCGGTCACATGACTTCACGTCACCACCGCTAAGCTAAAGGTGGCTAATGTTGGGCTATAAAGGAACTACAGCAGGGTCACATGACTTCACGTCACCACCGCTAAGCTAAAGGTGGCTAATGTTGGATCTATTGTGTGGGTTTAACATGAAAAAGAACAGTGTGTGTGTGTGTGTGTGTGTGTGTGTGTGTGTGTGTGTGTGTGTGTGTGTGTGCTAAACAAAGCAGGGTGTGCATGTGTGTGCACTGTGCAGCTGAGCAAATTCTTCTTCCTACACACACACACACACACACACACACACACACACACACACACACACACACACACACACACACACACACACACACACACACACACCCTGCTGTGTTTAGCTCAGGATGTGTTTTTGTTTCCGGAGACATTTTATCTGTTGCTAAAGTGAACGTTAGCTTACATCAGCTAATGCACAGCTACATAAACACTCCGCAGCAGTGCATTCTGGGTAGTATAAACTTGTTTGAAGTTAGAGGGGGATCTGCTCTTTCTTCATCTGTTTCTAATGGAAACATAGGAGCTTTAATTAAAACACTTCATCTTGAAAGAGTAACCTGCCATGATTTATGGAGCTGAGTTATGACGTAGACGACTTTTAAAGGGATTCTTCACCCCTAACAGGACCATTGTTTATAAAAGACTCACCCCATGTTACCTTGAGTTCTTCAAAAACACATTTTTGTCTCACACAGTGAACAAAGTAAGGTACAAATGTGTAAATCCTTTTTTTAAATTAGTTTTTATATATAGTTTCATTTCCAAAAGTTCCAGTATTTTCCGAAATAGTGCATTTGTCAGGGACTATTTTCAGCGGCGGATGTATATACAGTTGGTGCTATAGTGAGTATTTGTGGCAGTAGGATGGTGTGTGTGTTAATAATGAAAAATAAATGGCTCCCAGTGCAGCAGTAATGTCTTTTTTTATAGTTTTGGGAGAACAATAACAAAGATGTAGTCGATGTAGATGGGTTCTTTTTACTACATTCATTATTTGTACATCTGTTTTTTGTAGTTTGTTGTTTGATTATATTTTTACTGCACTGTTAGTGTATAGTTTTATTGTTATAATGGTTACTTTTATTATTATGCTGCTTTGTTTATTGTTTATCTTTTGTATCTCTGGCACAATAATTTGGGATAAATAAAGTCCTAGTGTACAGTTCAGATATTAATACACACACAGTACTTGTTATAGATATATTTAGTAGTTTTTTTTTGACTGCACGTGGGTTTCAGTGGAGAGAAAAGAGGAGTGTTTGGAGAAAACTAAATGATGTCCGGAGGCTCCGCTAGTCCAAACCTGTGTGTTGTGCTTTTGTACACACACTATAATACATACATACACACACACACACACACACACACACTGTTAAAACACACGATTCACCTTTCCCACCCTTCTCTCTTTCTGCCTCCTGAGGCTCTCATTCATTCACAAAGTTCTTAGAAAAACAGCCTCTGACGTGTCTCTGGATTGTGTTTCGATTCCTCGCTGAGTCACAGAGAACGAGCATCCAGCTGAAGGTCGTGTCCTGTCATGTTAAACAACTACCAACAGATGTTAGGTGGAGGAATGAATGGATTAGAGTGTGCAACTGAACAGCAGTGACAAGAGGAATTTAATACAAGACATAAGGTGTGTTCATTACAAAGCACCAGACTTCATTCATATTTAAATTAAGTGAGATCCAGAAATAGTTGGTTTCTGGATAGTGGTTGGATAGTGGTTGGTTGGTTTGTCCGTTGGTTGGTTTGTTGATTGGTTCTTCTATTGGTTGGTTGGTTGGTTGGTTAGTTGATTGGTTAGTTGATTGGTTTGTTGTTGGTTGGTTGGTTGGTTGGTTGGTTGGTTATTTGATTGATTAGTTGGTTGGTTGGTTGGTTGGTTGGTTATTTGATTGATTAGTTGGTTATGTAGTCTGTTGGTTGGTTGGTCAGTTGATTAGTTCTTAGATTGGCTGATTGGTTGGTTGGTTGGTTGATTTGTTGGTTGGTTGGTTGGTTCTTCGATTGATTCTTCGATTGGTTGATTGGTTTGTTATTTAATTGGTTGGTTGGTTGGTTGGTTGGTTGGTTGGTTCTTCGATTGATTCTTCGATTGGTTGATTGGTTTGTTATTTAAGTGGTTGTTTGGTTGATTTGTTTGTTATTTTATTGGTTGGTTGGTTATGTAGTCGGTTTGTTGGGTCGATTGTTTGGTTGTTTGGTTGGTTGATTGGTTTGTTGGTTGGTTTGTTGCTGTTTTTTTAGTTGGTTGGTTGGTTGTATGGTAAGGCAGTTGGTTGGTTGGTTGGTTGTCAGATTTGATCACCCAAATTATACTTTTGGTCAAATTCAACTTGTATTAGGTTGTAAGCAAATAAGTCTGACGATTAAAACATCCAAAATGTCCTAAGCTATGTATATTAAGCATTTATCCAGTCGATTGCGCCCTCTGTAATAGATAAAGTAAAATGGTTGACCTTGTCGACTACAACCCAGACACTATTTTTAACTGTCTTTATTTATACACTACCTGATGTGCATTCTGGGGAGAGTTTAGTTTTTAGCCTTTGTAATAACTTTAAATGTATAAAATAAATAAATAAATGTTTTTAAGGAAATGTATGAATGTTTAGTTATCTCTTTTTTCTTCTGATTCTTCACATCATTTCTTGTACCATGATTCACTACACTCTGCATTTAGCTCGACCAATTCAGGATAAACCCAAATCACTCGATCCTAAAAAAGTCCAAATGGCCTTTGAAGAACAATATAAACACCTAGATTTCTTAAGTGAAAATCCACAAAAGGATAACTGCTGTGACACCCACATTGATCCACATCCTAATGTTTACAGTAACCTAAAAGGAAACTGCAGCTACTACAGTGATAAACTCTTCAATACACAACTCTTTATGCAAACAGTGGAAAAATCGAACTATTCCTTGAACTCATAAATAGATCCTTTGATATCATTGCTATGTCTGAGACCTGGCAAACTGAACTGAAAAACTACCGAATGATATGCCTTTCCACATGAACCGTAAACTCCAAAGAGGTGGAGGGGTTTCATTGTTTGATGTGTGTGTGTTTGCAGGTTCTCGGCCGGGTGTTGCTGCTCCAGCTGATCGATGACTTTGTGCGCGGATACAGAAACAACGAGGGTTGGTCGGTGAAGTTACTGAACAGCACCCGCATCCACATCCTGCCGACGATGAACCCCGACGGCTTCGATGAGTCAGACACTGACTGTCTGTTCAGCCAGGGCAGGTACACATGACGAACAACAGAGACCTATCAGGAAATCTGCACTTCTAGTGAGATTTTAAAGGTCACCTATTATACAAAATCCACTTCTGGTTCATTGGTTGGTTTGTTATTTAGTTTACAGTCACGGTAAAAGCCTGTGTGTGTGTGTGTGTGTGTGTGTGTGTGTGTGTGTGTGTGTGTGTGTGTGTGTGTGTGTGTGTGTGTGTGTGTGTGTGTGTGTGTGTGTGTGTGTGTGTGTGTGTGTGTGTGTGTGTGTGTGTGTGTGTGTGTGTGTGTGTGTGTGTGCGTGTATGTGCATGTGAGTGTGAGTGTGTGCATACATGTGTGTGTGTGCGTGTATGTGCATGCGAGTGTGTGTGTGTGTGCATGTGTGTGAGTGTGTGTGTGTGTGTGTGTGTGTGTGTGAGTGTGTGTGTGTGTGTGTGTGTGTGCGTGTATGTGCGTGTGTGTGAGTGTGTGTGTGTGTGCGTGTGTGTGTGAGTGTGTATGTGCATGCGTGTGTGTGTGTGTGCGTGCGTGTGTGTGTGTGCGTGTGTGAGAGTGTGTGTGACCATATGTCAAAACAAGACTTTAAAGACTTGAGACGACAGTTTTGACATCCATAGACTAAACTATGCGACACTCCAACGCCCAAAACACACTGATAGACAGGAAACCAGACACACACTGTATATTTGTATCACACACACACACACACACACACACACACACACACACACACACACAGATTACAGTCACGGTCAAAGCCTTTAAGTATTCAATTATGAGTGTTTTGACTTCTTCTAATGTTGCGTATAGGAGACTCTTGTGTGTGATTGTTTTATATCAGCAGAGAACATGCTTTGTTAAGGATCTTTTAGCTCTGATTTTTGTCTCTACCATCTCTAAAAATATTCTACTAGCAGATATCTTCCCGATGGGGACCTGAAAAACGTGTCTACCAGATCCTTTGCTGGTCTACCACTGCTTAGTTTGGTTAGTTCATGTGTGTTATTAGGTGAATATAGGGTTTTGAGGGTTAGTTTGATTCCACCAAAGTTTCTTTTAGCTCTGTTTTTGGTCTCTACCATCTCCTATAAAGGGTATATTATTTTCCTTTTAGCAGACATCCCTTTCAGATGGGGAGCTGAAAACTGTCAACCAGACACCATTAACAAAAACAGTCATTTAACCTCACAAAACACAGGATTTGCTGGTCTACCACTGCGTACTTTGGTTAGTTAATTATTGTTATTGTGTGACTTTGGTGTTTTAATGGGTGATCAAAGTCCCACAATAACACCAACTAACTAACCAATAGAGAAAATAGTACGCCAGGAACTCCTGTGTTTTGCAAGTTAAAATGACTGTTTTTGTCAATGAAGTCATATGGCTTTGAAGAGAGCTTAGATGACATCTTCACTTGCCCGTAAAAGTACTGTTTACAGACGTATTTCTCTGTGTGTGTGTGTGTGTGTGTGTGTGTGTGTGTGTGTGTGTGTGTGTGTGAGACCATATGTCAAAACAAGACTTTAAAGACGGCATTTTTGACATCCATAGACTAAACTATGCGACACTCCAACGCCCAAAACACACTGATAGGCAGGAAACCAGACACACACTGTAGATTTGTATCGCACACACACACACACACACACACACACACACACACACACACACACACACACACACACACACACACACACACACACACACACACACACACACAGAGATTACAGTCACGGTCAAAGCCTTTAAGTATCCAATTATGAGTGTTTTGACTTCTTCTAATGTTGCGTATAGGAGACTCTTGTGTGTGATTGTGTTACAAGTCATGGAGATGTAAATATGTTCAGACAGCCTCATTTTAGGAACTTTAAGATGTTAACTGTATCATTTTAGGGTTTATATTTTAGCTTTCAATAGTTTTTGTTCAATCATGAGCACCAGACTTGATTTGAACCCAAAAAATGCACTGGTTTCTCCAACTTTCTTAAGATTTAGGGTGTTTTAGATGTATTGTTGTTGACTTAATAATGAGACATTTATACTAATATTGGGAAACCGGAGTGCCTTGCCCATGGGACCATCTATTTTTCTCTAAAAGGGACCATCATTTACTAAATGAACATCATACTGTGTTGTAGAATAATTGAAACTTCAGATTGAGACCATTAACTCTTCAGGGAAATGTTTACTGAGGAAATAAATCAAGTGAGAAGTTGGGTTATTTTTTCATAGACTTCTTTTCAATCTGTTCTGTTCTGTTAAGTCCCCTGCTGGCTATTAGAGAGAATGCATGTTTAAAGCACTCTCAGTCACTTCCCATTCATACATTTTCCATGTTTGTCTATTTCAGGGCCAACTATAACGGTGTTGATCTGAACAGAAACTTCCCCGATGCGTTCGCTGGTCTCCGAAAACAACCGCAGCTGGAAGAAAGTAGGCGGGAGGCAGAGGTTAGTGTGTTGAGATGCAAAAACAGCTAGCAAAAAAGGGTAGAAAACCTTTATAAAGGGGGTACATTATGTAAAGAAATATTGAAAATCACTTCGCAAGAGGAATTATTGTGAATGAATCCATCACTAACAATAGCCCTTCATAAAATACACTATTTCTCTTGTTGTTTTTATAAAAATACAGAGTATCCTCAGCATTATCTGTTAAAAAATATTTTTCAAAATTGGTTGTCTGCTCTGTGATTGGTCGGTTGTTGTGTCATGTGTTACAGGTCAGGGCTGTGATTGGCTGGTTGAGGATGGAGAGTTTTGTTCTCTCTGCAAACCTTCATGGAGGAGCTCTGGTGGCCAGCTATCCCTACGATAACAGCAACGGAGGTACACACACACACACATACACACACACACACACACACACACACACACACACATACACACACTTTGTAATATATGTAAGTCGTCTTACAGCAGTATGACTCCAAGTTTGTTCGTTTAGAAGTGTAACTCCGTGAAAAAACTAAACTTGGTGGTCCTCAAAAAACCAATAGCATGGTTTTGTTATGTGTTTTTTTAAGATGAGTTTTTCCTTTTTATATAAAGAGTGACGCACAGAGATGGAGAGACAGGAAACAGGCTCTTAGACTCATGACATTGTTGAGTGGCGACAGATAAATAAACAAGTTTAGTAGAACAACTTTCCCACACACTCAGAAACACAGAAATCTGCTTTTAATTGCAAAACCCACTATGAGGAACCAGCAGCCTTTTATACAAATCAATATAACTGTATTTTATGGATAGATTTGCTGAATAAAACCCAGGTAAAACCTCTCATTAAAACATAATTTTCACTTTTATTTTACCCCTAACCCATCACAATCCCTCTGCTTCCACTCCTACTGCTATTTATTTAATTGTTACTCTATTATTTGCCCCTCTTGTTTGTTTGTTTGTTTGTTCACCATGTAAAGCGGCCGTGGGTCCCTTGAAAGGCGCTATACACATTTCATCTATTATTATTATTATATATATATTTCTGCAGGTAGTGAGCTGGTGGGCGGGGCCAGTGTTAGCCCTGATGATGATGTTTTTAACCACCTGGCGAAGGTTTACTCCCATAACCACGCCTCCATGCACAGCGGGGAGCAATGCCGTGACAGCAGACCGTTTCTGGAGGGCGTAACCAACGGATACCTGTGGTACCCAATCTCAGGTGAGCACCATGCATAAAGTTTCACCAGATAGGGACAATAAGCAAGCGGGGTGCAGGAATGAGGCCTAAAAGCCCCAAATGAGTCCGAGTTTTACCACTTCCCCTCCCCTGGTGTGAAAGTCAATGGTGTTTTGAGTGTTTTTGTGGTTGTTAGCCTGAAATAAGGTCTGTTGTTAACACAAACTGAAGAGATTTTTATTCTACAACATCAAATAAGTCAGTAAATACCCCATTGGTGAATTTAAAATCAGCGGTTACTAACAAGTGTCTAAATGAGACGATTAAACGTCATCACGCCCAACATTAGCCTCCTTTAGCTTAGCGGTGGTGACGTGAAGTCATGTGACCGTGCTGTAGTTCCTTTATAGCCCAAGATTAGCCACCTTTAGCTTAGCGGTGGTGTCGTGAAGTCATGTGACCGGGCTGTAGTTCCTTTATAGCCCAACATTAGCCACCTTTAGCTTAGCGGTGGTGACGTGAAGTCATGTGACCGTGCTGTAGTTCCTTTATAGCCCAAGATTAGCCACCTTTAGCTTAGCGGTGGTGTCGTGAAGTCATGTGACCGTGCTGTAGTTCCATTATAGCCCAACATTAGCCGCCTTTAGCTTAGCGGTGGTGACGTGAAGTCATGTGACCGTGCTGTAGTTCCTTTATAGCCCAACATTAGCCACCTTTAGCTTAGCGGTGGTGTCGTGAAGTCATGTGACCGCGCTGTAGTTCCTTTATAGCCCAACATTAGCCACCTTTAGCTTAGCGGTGGTGTCGTGAAGTCATGTGACCGCGCTGTAGTTCCTTTATAGCCCAACATTAGCCACCTTTAGCTTAGCGGTGGTGTCGTGAAGTCATGTGACCGTGCTGTAGTTCCTTTATAGCCCAACATTAGCTTTTTACTTCAGAAATGTGGTATAGGCCTATTTATGTTAATATGAGGAGATTATCCTGCTGAACTAAACGTGTAAGAATCATAAACGTTTGTTTGACACAGAGATAATTTTCTGCTATAATCCAAAATCATGTTGAGAAATCCCATTGGCTTTGGAAGTATGATCCAACATCAATATGGTCTCTAGTCAGCGTGAGTTTGATTCCTAGAGGGACTTCAGTGGAAACATCAGGCTCTGGTTTCCTGCTGCAGAAATCTGATCTGCAACACGATCGCTGAACTGACAGAGACTGAACCTGAGAGAACTGAACACGGAGGGCTGAAAAACATCCACTGTACAGATAATTAAATGTTAATTAAGTTAAATTCACCTTAAATCACTTCTGGTTTTGTGTCATATCATAATCAAAGTAAGTCAGTTTACATACACTGTAATACGTCCAACCCTGGGTGTTAATCATACATTTTATTTTGAAATGAGTTTCTTTACTTCTTGTTTTGATATTTTATTTGCATGAGTTAGGTTTTTATTTTATTCCTTTGTTGGCAGTTATTGATTAATCTCCCTATCATTTTCTACGTCAATATTTCCTTTAATCCAAGTCCAAACACAGTTATAATCATATAAAAACCTGGATATTCGTATGTTTTATCCAGGTTTCTGCAGGCCAAAGTGTCCTAGTTTTATTATCCAGTATTTATTTCAATGTTATTTACATGACATGGCTTGCAGTGCACACTTAGTCAAAATTAGACCCCATTAAATGCTGAAGAACCTGCACACATTCATGCAAAGTATCCCAGTAAATGAATTGTATTATAAAGACTTTGTTTTACATTTGAAAGAGAGATGTATTTCTCTTGGACAGCCTGAAGAAAATAAGTTCACACTCGTTGCAAAGGAGCACAACTTTGTTTTCAAGGGTTAGAACATTGTATTAAGGTAAGAACAATAGCAAAACGTAATCCTGAGTTTGATGAGATAAAAGTAAATAAACAAATAAATGACTTGACTCTGCAAAACTTCATCAAAATAATGTTTTTTGCTTAGAATCAGCCTAAAACACATGTGTCAAAATGCAAGGCCCCTTGGTGGATTTAATGTTCGGTTTCCTCAGCTCAGAGCCTGACCCCAAACATTGATGAACTTGCACCCAAGATGAGATGCCAAGTATCTGGCTTGAACTGTTATCACAGAGCAGCAAACTGAGTTTACATGTTTCCTTCTGCACTTTTTCTCTCACGTCAACAGGGCATGTTTGTTTTGTTCTTTGAGGGAAATAGTTTTGTTGAAGCTGTTGTTGGCCTGTGGAGAAATGTAATCATAAGAAATGACTCTGGAAAAGCTGCAGATGGAGCCATAAGAAATGAATGCAACTGATTATTTAATGTTTAATGTTGTTTTTATAGGCAATCATTTAAGCTTTGTTAGTTCCAGGTTTAATATGTGCAATAAGTTCATTTCAATAAGTTTTGCAATAAACATTGAACCAGTCCGGCCCTCGACTAGTACCCATTTCTTTATTTTGGCCCACTGTGTATTTGAGTTTGACACCCCTGGCCTAAAACAACAAGAAATATTTTACATTTTATACCAAATCCTGTATCTAAAAATCTAGATACAGGATGAATATACAATAAATGTCTTCTGCTGAACCCTGATACATTTTGTTGGGGTTATTTAATCTTTTAGAGAAATGTTAACTACCTCATAAATACTGGATACAGCAAATACTTTTTTATTTCCAAAAACATGCAGCATCTAGATATCATTGGGTACTGACACTGACTGAAAAACCACAAATTGACAAACCAATATAACAGCGCCCCCTGTGTTCCCAAAATATAGTGGATGTGTGGAGTTCAATCGTTTTTTGGTGTGTAAAAGTTGTAGTTTGTGTTTATTTTCAAAGCACCAGACTACATTTAACTTTTCACCAAATTACCTTCAGAAATTACTCACATGTTTTTTCCGATTTAATCGTGTGTGTGTGTGTGTGTGTGTGTGTGTGTGTGTGTGTGTGTGTGTGTGTGTGTGTGTGTGTGTGTGTGTGTGTGTGTGTGTGTGTGTGTGTGTGTGTGTGTGTGCAGGTGGGATGCAGGACTATAACTACGTGTGGGCTCAGTGTTTGGAGTTGACTCTGGAAGTTTCCTGCTGCAAGTTTCCTCCACAAAATCAACTTCCTGCTCTGTGGACAGAAAACAGGAAGTCACTGCTTGCTTTTATTATGCAGATTCACCTGGGTTAGTATCTGTCTGTCTGTCTGTCTGTCTGTCTGTCTGTCTGTCTATCTGTCTGTCTGTCTGTCTGTCTGTCTGTCTGTCTGTCTGTCTGTCTGTCTGTCTGTCTGTCTGTCTGTCTGTCTGTCTGTCTACCTGAACACTGACCATAATGAACCAAGATCAATACTGACCTTATGCTGTGTGTGTGTATGTGTGTGTGTGTGTGTGTGTGTTCAGGGGTCAAAGGTCGTGTGTTTGATGGCTCCGGCGTGCCTGTGCAGAACGCGGTGGTGGAGGTCAAAGGTCGAAGCAACATGTGTCCGTTCAGAACCGACAAACACGGAGAATACTACAGACTGCTGCTGCCGGGAGAATACGTGTTCACGGTACACACACACACACACACACACACACACACACACACACACACACATACACACACACACACACACACACACACACACACACACACACACACACACACACAGGCTTTTACCGTGACGTAAACTAAATAACAAACCAACCAAAATCCAAAAGTGGATTTTGCATAATAGGTGACCTTTAAAATCTCACTAGAAGTGCAGATTTCCTGATAGGTCTCTGTTGTTCGTCATGTGTACCTGCCCTGGCTGAACAGACAGTCTGTGTCTGACTCATCGAAGCCGTCGGGGTTCATCGTCGGCAGGATGTGGATGCGGGTGCTGTTCAGTAACACACACACACACACACACACACACACATACCGATACACACACACACACACACACACACACACACACACACACAGAGAAGACAGTAACCCTCTAACTATTATCTTTTTTTCTTTGACAGGTGACGTACCCCGGTCACAAGGTTTTGACGGAGACTCTAAATGTCCCTCATGGACCCGATCAATACTCCGCCATGAAACACGACTTCATGTTACGCCAAATCCCTGCTACAACTGTTAGCCCCCAGGCTAACCCCACCAAAGCTAACCCCACCAGAGCTAACACACCCGAAGCTATCCCCACCAAAGCTAACAGCACCGAAGCTAACCTGACCCCCAGCTGTAACTACACTTTAAACCTGGAAGCAGGCGCCTCCAGGAGCTCGTGGACGGGACTTTGTGTGTCGCTCGGCCTGGTGGTGGTGCTGCTATCGCTAGTTAGCTGAAATGCTAAGTGCTCGGTGTTGTGATGGAAACTTCTGAAGCAATGTAGACGAGACTCAGAGAGACACGATGGAGAGAGCTGGAAACTTTGATGGCAAACACTGATGGTTTATTCTGAGCTTCGGCCGGAGAATTCACAAGACATTTGCTGAAGATCTCTACCCCAGACCCATGTATTTAGCTGGTTCTGAGAGAATAATCAACAGGCAGGAACAGGGATACAAAACACTGAGAGCACAGCAGCCCAAGGTTGAGGCCTGGATCCTATTGCAATATATTAAATGGTAAATGGACTGTACTTATAAATCTCTTTATCGGTCTGTTCGACCCCTCAAAGCTCTTTACATACTACGAGTCATTCACCCATTCACACCTCATTCATGCAGAGCAGCACCACTTGCCCTAGGGAAGCTAACACTCACACACACTCATACTTACACACACACTCACACATACATGAACATACTGGGGAATCTCCCTTAGCTCCAGTGGACAAAGTGACAGTGAGTTTTGTCGCTCTCACTTCCTGTAATTAACATGGACAAGGACACATCCACATGTTGACTGCAGGGGATCGAACCAACAACCTACTTGTTGAAAGACGACCGCACTCCCTCTCAGCCACAGTCGCCCAGAGACAATAGAACTATTACTGCTGAAAAAGGGCAGAACAAACTGATAAACTGGGTCAAAGGTATGGGCCTAGGAACATATTTCCCCAACAGGTGTGACGGACACAGGTTTGAACCCTCAACCTGCGAGAAAGGAACAAGAAGGCGGAGGATTACTGGAGGTTTACTGCAGAAGTTTTCTAATTCGAGGGCGAGCAAGTTGGGGTTAAAAGCACGGAAGAAAGCTCACATGCATGAGGTCAGAAAAAAGGTGGTGCTGGTGGAAGCTTTGGGACGTAGCAGCGATACTTGCAGAGCTAATAGCCAGGTTTTCCATTCAGATGTGATGCAAATTTAAAGTGAAGGTCGAGGTAATTTGCAAAACAAAATGCGATTCATTCCTTTAAGAAATGTTGGTTCAAGGAGAGACGTCTTCCCAAGAGGATGCACACACACACATGTGAAGATTCTTCTGAGATCTGACCAAAAGTGAAAAGATTTTTCATGTTCTAAGATTATAGTCGATAGAAATAGGTCAGCATTGCGAGATTAAAGACAAAATTCAGAGAAAAAAAGACAAAACTCAGAGAAAAAAGTCAGAATTCTTCGGAAAAAAATCTGAATTTCCAGAAAAAAGTAAGAATTCTGAGAAAAAAGTCAGGATTCTCAGAACTCTGGAAATGTTCACGTGTGTCCCTTATCCTCTCCCGTAGAAATACACTCATCAAAGAGTTTGTTTTGGACTCTTCGGCTAAAAGAATCAGCGCTTAATTTGATTTATTTGCAGCATTTTTTTGTGAAAGTAATTAATTTTTCGACCAAATGTCATCATTTCCGATGCTTGAGTGACCAGCATCGTTCATGGAGGCTTAACATTAATGGAGTAATCATTTTTAAAAAAGCCTGAAATAACTACTAATACTAAAGAGCTGTACATGTGAGAAAAATATGTTTTAACTTTGCATATCTAGGAATATATTGAATGTATTATAACACCAATCCAGCCCCATTTTAAGGCAGGGAAGAACTTCATAACACAGTCAGATATAATGGACTCTTTCCTGCGTCATGGAGACAAAATCTGCGGGTACAAACGTGTTTTTAACCGGGAGATAATTGAATTGAAATGGATAATAGGAGGAGAAACTACAGTCTTTAGGATCTTGACTTGTGAGGTCGTGATGAGGCTCATTAACCGAGGAAAATATAGACCGTGTAATTTCATACGTGAGGAGGAGGAGCACTTTAAAATTAGCGCTTGCAGGGACTGTTTTTAGACCACAGGAAAAGGACCTCACAGAAGCTATTAATCATCGTGGTGAACTCAGTGAGGTGCGTTTGATTTATGACTCCACGGTTTACAGAGTCATCAGACCTGTTCATACAAGCGTTTCATTATTTCTGCATGTCTCGTGTTTTTTAAGGAGGGTTGCGATTAATCTGAGGGGGTCGAAAAAGTAGGAAATAAGAAGAAATCACATTTTATTTACACAAATGATCACTTTTCTCTATTTATTCTTGCTTTGTTGTTAAATATTGCTCATCTTATCTTGAAATCGTCCATTAATCTGCTTAGTTTTTTCATTTAATTGTTTATTTGAATAGGGATAATGCACATTAATGAACAACAAATAATGCTTCAAGTGTAAATATGCTGGATTTTAGCTTTGAGCTAATTTCCATCCGTAGTCCCTCACATACAATATAAGAACATGACATTTATAAACATAGCAACAAATAAATACATGATATGCAGAAAGAGCAAGAGCAGCACACACACGTATTTACCACATGGCAGTACACTATAGCAGCTACGACATATAACGTGCAAGAGGAGATACCCCTGTGTTAAAGTGCATTTAGCGGTGATTGCACGGATGTTTGTTTCTCAACCATGCTTAGTTTTTTTGGAAAGACCATGCAGAAGTTGCTTGAAAATATTGTCATTTTAAAGTTTTATTTAAAGGTGGGGTAGGTAAGTTTGAGAAACCGGCTCGAGATACACTTGTTGTTATATTCCATGGAATGCTCTTAACATCCTGATAGCAATGAATATCTGAAGTGCTTTGACAAAAAATCCATAAAAAAATATCATCTGTGGAAGCTGTAGTACTGTAAAAAGCACGACCAATCATCTGAGCCGGCCCGGCTAAAATAACTGGATGGCCTACCTGCCTGTCAGCCTTCCATCTGTGCACAGACTTATCTCGTGCCCTCATTGGTCATGTGCGCGTTCGTGTGTGTTGGAGGAGGGGCTCTGTAAGGAAGTGGCAGATTTTTTCCGGCTGTGTATTTTCAAATTCTAGCGCACTCGAGCTGGTTTCTCCAAAATGACCTACCCTACCTTTAATAGAAAAGTAATTCATTTATAGTTTTCTCCCACGTTTGTAGGTGCTTTGCAAAAAGGAGCTGCTAACGGCTAATTTGGCGTACTTTTAATGTGCCAATTTCCTCAAAATGTTAACAAATATAGGCTAAAAATACATAACATTCTCCACATAAATCATCACGTTTCTCTATTTATGCTTTCTTTATTGTGAGTTATACATTAACTATTGTTGATTCTGACTAAACGTCCATAAATCTGCTTAGAAATCTTATTTAAAGAAAAGACCAGGTTGAGAAAAATCAAATTTTTTGTTGTTTTTCCGTATAAAGTGATCCCATAAAAGATGTCTGTACATGTATGGATGCACTAGCTACTATTAGCTAATTCGGCAATCTTTATTATGCCAATTTGTCAAAAATATAAACACAATATAGGCTAAAATAATGTTTGTATCCCACTTCTGACTCCATGGACTCACTATACTTCCTGTTTACTGCCCCTAAGCATTATGGGAATTGTAGTTTCTAAGGGTACATTCTATTATCCCCCCAAATAGAAGTCAAAATGATTGTGCTATCGAATTAAATACAAAAAAACAGGACTATGTGAGGACTGGGAATCAAACCTGAGACCTCTATCTGTGAGGTGACACATTTAATACACTATCTGTACACTACACAGTATATATATATTTATATGCAGTATTTATACTCAGATGTGTATCATGTTTAGCTCAGTAAAGTTTATTTTTGCCAAATATCTTCTAATCTTTTTCTACTTTTGTATTCTTTGATATTCACTTTGTCATCATAATGAAAACCTCTCCTGTGCCATGTTGTAGTGACTGCCGGATTCAGTCACATTAAAAAACATCAAACCTCATTAAAGATTTATATTTCTCCTGTTTCACGTCTGTTTACTCTGGAAAGCACCGTTTATTCATAGGAAACATTGAATTAAAAACACAAACAAGTGAAAGATTTCCATGTGTCTATTCTGTTTAAAATCATCAGCTTAATAAATAAGATAATAATATACAACTTTATGCATCCCCAACTACACTATTGCATCGATTATGAGGAAAAAGTCAGACTTAAAGGTCACCTATCATGCTATTTCTAGGCAATAGCATAGGTCTCAGATATATACAAATATATAAAAAACATGTCTATGAAGTGTTTTGCTCAAAACACCAAACAGATCACCCGTTCTAGCCATGCCTCATATCCCTCTATTTCACTTCCTGTTTCTAAAGTGCTGATTTGGGGTATAAAGCTTTAAAAATTAAAAAGTAGGGGTCTGAGCTCATGCGGGACCCGGCAGCTACTGTCTAAACTAAATACTGCGGTGATGAAACGCCATATCATGGATTATCAAGGATTATTTCTGAGACAGTATGGAGCTCAAAGGCTTTCTCTCTTGCCGGTTATACCACAAGGTGAGTTCCTTTTTATTTCCTGCTTCTTCACACACATGCTCTCCAGTACAGGTTAGCTCTGAGTGTTAGCGATGCTAATGTAAACACCGACCATATTACGTCCAAAACAGTCGGGCATTGTTTCTGATAGCAACGTTTCTGATAGGGCCGTGGGTCCACATTTCAGATATTACGTCATATCGGACGCAAATCTGGATCAGCTCGTTGTTCCCCGTTTTTAGAGATTTGGGTACGGAGGAAAAGAGAGAGGGTTTTATTTTCTGACGCTGCGTGAGTTCCCTGACACCCCGGGGACACATCTTTATGTAGAAAAGACATCAAAAAGTGCATTTTGCATGATAGGTCCCCTTTAAGTTATCAAATCAAGTTTTTCACTAACAAAGTGGTAAAAAGGTAGCTTTATGAAGTCTAAAAGAAAGTGTAAATATGTCAAAAGTCTTCAAGATAGTGAGTTAAAAGTCTGCTATTTTAAATAACATACTTATATTATAATGAAAATAATGAGAAATGTGTCTCCTTTAGTAATTTTTTTAAGTTATTTAACATCGTACGTAGTTTTTATAATGAAAAGTCTTCATTGTTACCATTAGCTTACAAGTTATTTAGTCCAGTCAGTCCAAATCAATGCATTGTATTATACACTGGAGCAGTAGAAGAGTATTGTGTTTTTGCCGTACACTCAGTGCTTGAATTGGTATAAAAAGGTGCCAGTACTCTAAATCAGCAACTGTTTCAAGTCAATTTTATTTATACAGCCCAAAAACAAGAATTTGGCTCTTTACAATCTGTACAACATACGACTCCCTCTATCCTTATCCTCATATCTTTGATTCAGTAATTAAAAAGAAACACAAAAAAACTTTAACAGACAAGGAAAAGGGTTTTATTTTAAAAACAGAATATTTACTGTAACGTTCAGAAATTGCATGTTTTCCCACGACTAATCAGGGAGGTGTCCGGGGCTCTCATAGAGAACATGACGTAGCCTATACATCAGTGGCGGCCGGTCCATAGGGGCGCTAGGGGCGCCGCCCCACCTCTTCCCATATTGAAAAAAAATAAAATAAATAATAATTAAAATTAAAATTAAAAAAAAAAAATATGTTTAAAAAAATATATATGTTTTTATTTTTATTTTTAATGAACAAGGTAAATATTATATAATTGGTATCAGTAAAATGTATAATCTACAATAAAATCTCGTTTAAAATTGTGTTACGATGTCTAAAGTTACTGATAAGTCACATGTTTCCTGCCTGGACTTGCCCATGCACCTTCTCTCGTCTGGGCGCTAAGAGAGGAGCCTTCAACCAGTGCAGCAGCAGCCACCAGCAGCTGACTGTTGCTATCTGTAACGTGTAAACTATGCCGCGAAAATATAATTTCAGCCAATCAGCGTCGTCAAAGATGACGGTCACCGGGCGCCAATGTCAGCGCCCAGTGCAGTCTGTGAGTAGTTTGGACAGTGACTCGTATCCGGTTGACGCAGTAGTTGATGAGGATGGCTTCGTGTGCAGGTGGAGTCTCCGGACCTCGGTCCCCGGCTAATTCTGTTCAAGAGCTAATCTCCAATCCTTTCGAAAGGAGAAGTTTGGCAGATAAATTGTTGCTTAAAGACCTTGCACCGGACCAACCCGATTTGAATATATCGCAGCAATCTCGTGAAAAAGACAACATTTATACACGAGGCTTAGTAGCTGGTACACAAGAAAGGCTTGGCTAGCTGGATGCAAACAGGTAAATGCTGTCTTTTGTTTCCCATGCTTGGATATCACTTTATATGTAGAGAGGAGGTTTCCCATGGTTGTTAGAAGTTTATTAATAAGTGGGCATTTATCACAGAAGTGATTGTTCTGTCTCCACGTTTGTTGCATTGTCTGTGATGTATTTTCCAACGGTTATAGCTCCTGTTCTGTCCCAGCAACACTACACGGTTTGCAGCTCCACCACATTTTTGGTTTATCTTCGGTGTCGCTTAAAATCTGCTTCCCATCGGACTAAAACCTCCACGTAATCTGAAGACAGATACTTGAAGTTATTTAAACCTTTTGCAAACTTTATGTTCTTTCTTGCTCTAGCCTTGCCAGTTACATTGTACATAACACATATATTATCATTATGCTAACTGGTTGTTCGTGTTAGACGATGTAGCTTTTTCATTTCTGAGTTATTGCTATATGTAAATAAGCCTGTTTGTAAATAATCCTCAGAGAAACAAAGAAAAAACACAATTTATGACATTTTGTGCTGTGGTTATTTTTTTTAAATTGCATTTATTCACAGTTCAGTTTGAAATGCTGTAGTGACTTGTATTGAACCACTTAAATATTTATAATTAATGCTACTGAAAAGATGCTATTAATTTTATATCTCACATGCAGTTCACTGTAAAGCTACTTGGTGAAGGTGTTGGTTCATAAAACATGAACAGTTTTAAGAAAGAAAAAAACAGACCAGTTCTGAGAACACAAATTCCTGGTAAAGTAGTAGATGTTCAGGTTGATAAATAATATTTTCCACACTGAAGATTATGGAGGTATTGATCAGTCTTCTCATATTTTTAAGCCTCGATTTCTCCTTTCCCCCCCCCCTCTAACATCACCAGAAGTCATCATTTAAGGGGTCATTTCTCGAAAAAAAATTCCGGGGGGAAACCCCCCGGACCCCCCGGACAGGTCACTTACGGTACGTCAAGAGCCCCACCAAAAAAAAAGACCACCGGCCGCCACTGCTATACATGTGCCTGCATCAGGTCATATAGTATATCCTATAATGCTGGTGGGTTTGTCTCTTTACTGTATATTTTAGAAAGGCTCACTGTACTTGAAAAAAGTATGGCAGGCAGCGGATATGGCTAAAGCCTGACTCCTACTGGCGGCTGGGTAAATGACTCCTCGCCCCTGAGTACACTCATGCATCTTTCAGCAGGAGAGGAGAGAGGGAATCAATGGAGCTGCCAGGGAGGACACAGGGGAATCATACAACAAATATGCGTACCTAGATGCGTCATGAGGTGCCGGTACGCAGTAAGAAGTAACGGTATGCAGATGGGTAAAAATCAGAAGTCCCGGTACCGGCCCAATTCAAGCACTGATGTCAAGTCTTGGACCTTCTCAATATAACTATAATGACGGTATGTTGTTGAATTACAGTTTCCAGATTCAGAAGAGGCCCATGAGTCTCTTTGCTAATTATCAACGGTCTTTGCAATTATCAGCAGATGTACCCACGTTAAGTAAAACTGACCCAATGTGAGAGGAAGCACAAAGAGGCCGAGTAGATTATAATCATCATTATAGAGGTGTTGGCTACATGTAAGGAAAATGTATGTGCGTCCATGTGCAGACGTATGTATGCTTTGTTAATTGGGAAGTTCATATCCTAACTAAGTATGAATTATACCTAAAGACGTCATGAGATAATGACCTTTCGACATCTGGAACTTACATGTTGCTCTGATGTTGGTGCGTCCATTTGGGAAACATGATGTTCGTGTGCTAGTTAAACATGGTTAGGGGAAATGAGTGTGTGGTCATTACAGCTGCTATATCAACACAGTCTCACGGCATTTCGTGTTTTAGTCACGAAATGAATCTATTGATTCGTGTTCACCAACACGATTTCGCCATTTTTTTCGTGTCACACAGAACGATTTTAAAAGCAATGTAAATAATAACAAATTAGAAGGAAAAACACATTAAAAAAAATACAGATTTAAGTATTCTGACACAGAACGATTTTAGAAGCAATGTATTTATATTGGTAGTATGTTTCGTGCCTGCACCAAATAATAACAAATTAGAAGGAAAAAAAGATGACATAAAATACAGATGTCAGTATTCTGAGGCTCTGAGACATTTCTTTTCCTCGCGGACGGCAAAAAAAACTCAGACATTATACAATTTAAAATAAAAGGGATAGGGTTAGGCTTAGGGTAAGATATTGAGTAAGAACATGTTTTTATGAACCACACAGCTTCTGGTCTTCCAAGACCCGACCGGACAAAAAGACGTGTTGCAGGCACGAAACATACTACCAATAGAAATACATTGCTTTTAAAATCGTTCTGTGTGACACGAAAAAAAGGTGAAAATCGATAGATTAAATTAATTTCGTGACTAATAACACAAAATGCCGTACGACTGGGTTGGCTCTATAGGCTGTGTGAAACTTCTACTTTGTTGAAGCATTACTATCCAGGGTATATGCAGGAATCCTGAAGTCAAATGTAATACCTTTTAAGACCTTTTTTAAGACCCTTTCCATACATTTTAAGACCTCATCGCCCCTTCGAGTTTTAAACCGGTTACCTTGGCGACACACTTATATATACTATATACAGTATTGATTGTCCTTCCTCCTTATCTTCCAACCATTTGGACGCAGACTTGCATTTCCCCATAACGATGTTGTTTAACAACCAGCGTAAACGGACCTTCGCACGCTATCAAGCAGTGAGCGTGCGATGTCCTGTTCAGATGACGTCAAATCCAACGGGATGCCATAAATAAACTACACAGAATCACACTACACACCTACGCAATGATTACATTCAGGTAAACTGTAGAATACCTCTTTGGACAATTTATATACTCATTGGAAACTAGCTACAAAATGTAATACCTTGGAAAATGCCCTTTAATACTTTTTAATGGCCTTCATTTTCGCTAAATTGATTTATCCACTTTTAATACTTTTTAAGACCCCCTGTTATCACTGCTTGAGAGCAAAGATAATGTTTCCTCATTATTGTTTGTTGTACAACAAAATAATAATTGATTAACTATATCTGTTTCATTCTTTCCTGTTGTGAGTGATAAATTGCCACAACATTTTAGTCCAGCTTCTATTTTATATAAATATGAAAAGCAATAAGCTTCTGTATCACCACACAACTTCCTAAAAGTAGATTTTTTAATGACAAAATTCGGACACCATTAATTTCGCAACATCATCACATTTATTTAATTATATTTACATATGAACATGTGTTTATTTAAAAGTCACATCCTTCTCTGTCTCTGAGTCTCTTTGGCACGTCTTCACAATTAATCCAGGGGTTTCATTTACAAACTGCTTCCACTTCCTGTCGTCCTGCGCAACAGTAGCACCACAGACGACGAAGAATCAGCTTCCTTCAATTCCTGTAGTTCTTTGATCACCATGTTTGGAGTTCAGTCGGAGCCGTCCTGGTTCTCAAGGATTGGATCTGAGGACAGAGACAGAGCCATGTGAGTAATACAAACTCAAAATGTGTCCGTGTCAGAAAGTCAGTATGAAAGGGAAAAAGCTATAAGTGTCTTTAAATGATAAAAAAACATGCTTTATTCCTTCTACTACGCTACAGAGAAAGAGGATGAAGTAGAATTTCTGTTGATGTTTTTAAATTGGATTTGAGACAGAATAATTAGCAATAATATACAAAACTGTCAAGCAAAAATAAACCCTGAGTTTGTTACGAATGAGATGTTTGTTACCTGTCAGGGTGCTGCTGATGTTTGGAGACACAATCAGCACGGTGCTGCCAGACGGTGAACTTAACTCCTGAACACACCACACACACCACACACACACACACACAACACACACACACACACACACACACACACACACACACACACACACACACACACACACACACACACACACACCACACCACACACACACACACAACACACACACACACACACACACACACACACACACACACACACACACACACACCACACACACACACACACACCACACACACACACACACACACCACACACACAATAAATACCTTATTCAATTGAAAAGAATACATTTATTGCAGTATAATAATTTGCATTTAATCCAGGGCAATAATAACATTTGATTTAGTGAAAAATATAAATGAATTTTTGTGCAATATTTCTTATTTTTTTTGTAATTGACCCATAAAAAAGAGAAAACTTCATTTAAATGAACAATTATAGTAAATATATTTTAATTAATGTGTTTCCAAATGTGTAATGGGCAGCTATATACTGCAATAGTTTGGAATATGTAAATAAACTACACTGGTAATTGTATATTTAACATTTTTCCATATTTGAATGAAAATGTACCTTGTCAGTGAAGCCTTCTGTGATTGGCTCCTGAGTTTCCGCGACAACGCTCACAGAACCAAGGAGACTCTCGTTGCTGAGGCGATCCTCCTCTTCCTCCATCTGTGATTGGTCGAGAGGGTCTGAGGAGGCGGAGTCAGATGTGACCGTTTGGATGATGACACCGTCGCTAGAACAGAGGCCGTCAGTCTGAGAAGGAAACACACAAAATGATCAAAATAACTTAAAATAATCCCATAAAAAATACTTATGTATTATCACTTATATTATCAGTGCTGGAAGAAGTATTCAGGTCATTCACTTAGGTAAAAGTACTAATACCAAACAATTTGTATTGTATTTATAAACAAATAAAATGTAGTAGAGTAAAAACACAATATTTAGTGGAGTTTAAATATAATGTAGCAGAAAATACTTAAGTACAAATACCTCAATAGTTACTTTCCGACAATTATACACGTGTTCCTATTTATACGTATTAATACTGACCGACAGGCTGTGCAGGATGATGTGTTCGTGTGATGAGGGGGAGGAGCCTGTCGTCAGGGTAACCGTGCTGTTATTGCCTAAACTCAGGCCCTGATTGGACGTCGTCTGCAGGAAGTAAGTCCCCGGGGTTCCTGTGGGCTGCAGGTGGAACGACTGGAAAACAAATACATACAAAATATAAAAACAAAGCAGTGATGGGGAAATGAAAGAGTTTTTTGTGGGCTTTAGGACACTTTTCTTTCATGAACAATTTGCTAAGACTTAAATTACATAGTTATTTCAGATAGCTAGCATCTTATTTCAGAGAGATAGCATCTTATTTACGACAGTTAGCATCCAGCATCTTACTTCAGATTGCTAGCATTTTATTTTAGACATCTAGCGTCTTATTTACAACAGCTAGCATCTTACTTACGACAGCTAGCATCTTATTTCAGACAGCTAGAGACAGCTAGCGTCTTATGTCAGACAGCTAGCGTCTTATGTCAGACAGCTAGCGTCGTATGTCAGACAGCTAGCGTCTTATTTACAACAGCTAGCATCTTACTTACGACAGCTAGCATCTTACTTACGACAGCTAGCATCTTATTTCAGACAGCTAGAGACAGCTAGCGTCTTATGTCAGACAGCTAGCGTCTTATGTCAGACATCTAGCGTCTTATTTACAACAGCTAGCATCTTACTTACGACAGCTAGCATCTTACTTACGACAGCTAGCATCTTATGTCAGACAGCTAGAGACAGCTAGCATCTTACTTACGACAGCTAGCATCTTACTTACGACAGCTAGCATCTTATTTCAGACAGCTAGAGACAGCTAGCATCTTATGTCAGACAGCTAGCGTCTTATGTCAGACAGCTAGCGTCTTATGTCAGACAGCTAGCGTCTTATTCCAGACAGCTGGCGTCTTATTTCAGACAGCTAGCATCTACTAACAGCAGATTTATCGGTATATTTATTATATGATGTTATTTACGACAGTTAGCATCTAACATCTTATTTCAGATTGCTAGCATTTTATTTTAGACATCTAGTGTCTTATTTACAACAGCTAGCGTCTTATTTCAGACAGCTAGCATCTTATTTCAGACAGCTAGCATCTACTAACAGCAGATTTATCGGTATATTTATTATATGATGTTATTGTGGGAATTTGTGTTGTGTTTACAGGCAGGATCTCGAAGGTCTGCAGGGCTCCAGTGATGGTTTCACTATCGTTGGCTGCTGCTGACGAATCTGTACCTTAACGAGAAACAGGAAATAAGTACATAAAAAATAGGAGGGTGTTGTCAGCGTAAAGAGACATTTCTTTGGGATTAAATCTTCCTCTCTTTCTCACCCAGGTGTGTGATCTGTACGGGAATCTGCAGCGCCGCCACAGAGGAGGGGGCGGGGCTTCCACTGCTCTCGTCCAATCGGTTGAATCGGATCTGCAGCGAGGAGGAAGAGGAAGAGGAGGGACTTCCTGATTGTGAAGAAGCGATGAGCTCCCGCAGACCCTTTAGGAGGACTGAGCACACACACACAGGTTATTAGAGTGCAATTCTTACATTCATTTTAATGCATTAGTCACATTTATTCAAGTGAAAAATTGCTTTAATTCTAGTGAAATAAACATGTATTTTTGTGTCATAATTATGTATATTTTAGCACAATTTTAACATTCTAGTGCAATTTATTATATTTATTCTAGTGCAATTCTAACATAAATGTCAGTGCTGCTGTTGATACATCCGAGCTGTGTGTTGTACCGTTGAAGGGGATCTCCTTGTGGTTGGACACTTGTCTCTTGATGCTCCACCACTTGGATCGAAGCCACTGAGGCGACCGAACGCTGCTCCAGCCGCCGGCCAGATCCTCCCACTTTATCTCGTTCTCCTCCTCCACCTGCAGCTCCAATATCCTGGAACACACAGTTTATAACACATATTTTCATAGAAGGTTTTCATACATTTGTTAAGGCATTTCTTACATTTTCAACTACATTTTTTGCATATTTTTGGGGTATTATTTCGGGCATTTTTTAACGTATCTTTCCTGATTTTACACGTGTAGATGTTCAAGGTTATACTAATTTTGACTCCTATTTATGTACTTGATGGCTGGTTTAAATCAACAGCAATGCATCATATTCTTTAAGATCATCATGTTAGTTTTTTCAAATAAATCCAAATTTTTCAATGTATTTTCTCAACATTTTCTATATATTTCTTGGGAACGTTTATGGCGCATTTCCACTACAGGGCCTCGCTCGGCCTCGCTCGGTATGGCTAGGCCTCGTTAGGCCAGGCTCACTTTATGCTGCGTTTCCATTACAGTTTAGGAACTCGGGCAGTAACTATAGTAACGCAGTGTAGGCGGAGCCGTGACGTCATCTTCAATGAGAAACACAAAACCAACATCAGCCGTTAGCCGTTAGCACTCAGAGCTCACAGCTCCTCATATATGTTCAGAAACTAGACAAAAGTTAAACAAGTACAAACCACAGACTGTCTGTGTCATGGAGAATACAGTCGCTGGTTTATTTATGTCTGTAGGCCGTTGTTGTGAGTGTGGACGGTCGGAGCATATACAACGTTAGCTTAGCCAATCTCCATTCAGAAAACACGCATTTTAAAAGGTGTTTCGCCTGCCGTCTGTCTGCAGACTTGTCAAAGCATTAATTCATGGTTTTTACTAACCGGTATCAGTATGTTGTTACTTCGGCATCATTTTGAAACGTGTATTACAATTAAATCACGGTCAAATATGTTCATTGTGTTGTAGTTGTAGCCCCCTTGCCAGCGATTCTCTCTCTCTAGTTTAGCATACTCAGCCCGACTCAGCCTGGTTGTTGGCCCGCTAAGAACCTCCATTTTATGGGGCCAGAAAAACTGTGAAATAGTACCCGCTAGCCGGTACTACGCCAAGTGGAAACGCAACCAAAAACGGGCTGGGCACGGCACGCTTAAAGCGAGCTCCGCGCTGTAGTGGAAATGCGCCATTAGAGACACATTAGTTTATACATTTTTCAGGATTTTTTCTAGGTATTTTTCAGACTTTTTTCTTTGTTTCTGTGAGAACCACGTTTCTCTGAACAGTATTTTTTAGAGTTTCTCAGGACAACAGCCTGTTTTCCTCTTTGTGTCGATGCAGCTGATCAAAGAGGCTTTTTAAAGATGAACAATGCCCTCTCCACTTTTAATCAAATATCTTTTGCTTTTCTACAATTTTAAAGCCATTACATTTTGGGGTGGATCTGTCTATGATTCGTGTAACTACAACCCAACTGATGACTCCAATACAGTTATGATTAATTCACCACGTAGACATATTCAGACTCATATTTCTTGGTCAATATTTTATACATTTTTCAGGTATTTTACAGTGTTTTTAAAGTTTCTCAGAAGAACAGCCTTTTTTCAGCTTTGTGTCGATGCAGCGGATCAAAGCGGCTTTTTAAACACTTCATTTATCTTAAAAAGAAGCAGAATCTCCTCTCCACGTAGAGTAAAACCCACTCTGGTTACCTGTGTATGAGGTTGACGTCGTCCTCTTTCATCCACTCCGTCCCGCCGCTGTGTTTCCAGTTCAGGTAGTTTAACCACTTCGACCGACACTGTTTTTCTGACCTCGTTCGCACCTGATCGGCCACCGTTGCCCAGGAAACGCCTCCCGTCACCGCCAAGCCCGGCTTCACGCCCGACATCTCGTACACGACCTCAGCGAGCCGCCGCTCCTCCTCCTCCGTCCATTTACCTGAGGAAAAAAACGAATTAAGTTTAACCAAGAAAAGACGCAGAGAGGCTTTCGTTCGGATAATTTTGGAGACCAAAGTCGTGAATTTACGAGAAAAGTATGGGGGAGATAATTTGAATATTCTATAAAGTTTGGAAGTCATAATTACGCAGCAAAATTGCAGTTCAATTTATTTAAAAAAAACTGAGATTTCTTCCTAAAATGTGGATATTTTAGGAAGAAATCTATGTAGAAAAGAAAAGAAAGTTGCTACATTTAAAAAAACACTCATTACTTTTGTAAATGTATTTCTTTATAGTCTCAGAATATCAAAGTCGTGAATTTACGAGGAGATTATTTGAATATTTTATAAAGTTTGGAAGTCATAATTATGCTGCAAAAAGACAACAAAAATGAATTAGAATAAAAATAAAAAACTGAGATTTTTTTCTTAAAATGTGGATATTTTAGGAGTAAATCTATAGGCGCTTTCACACCAAGTACTTTTCCCAGACCTTAGTTCCCCGGAAATCTTTAGTTCCTGAACTATCTAGTAGATCGCGTTTACACCGGAATAAGTCCCTGAGGGAGGATTACGCAAATGAAGCCGCTGACGTCACTTCTTCTTCTTCTGCTTTGGGTTTACTGGCAGGCCGCAAACCACTTCACGGCGTATACTGCCACCCGAAGTCCCCGGCCGGAAGTCCCCGGAGTTGGGGAAGGCTTCAGTAGAAGCTGCTGGGACTCCCAGCAGCTTCTACTGAAGCCTTCAGAGTAAATCGCCAGAACGCCAACACCTCCTCATCTCCACCGCTCCCATGTTTTCTTTTGTGTTGCCATAAGTTAGTCTCTCTCCGTTGGTGCGTGGGGCTAATGCTAATAATGCTAATGCAAGCAAATAAAATGGCGGCTTCACAAATCTTTTCGGAGTTTTACGGGGCGTGGTTTGCAATCCGCCCAGCCAATCAGAAATTGGAACCTTTTTCTCCCCAGGAAAGTCCCACCTCTCTAGCAGGGACTGAAAAGGTTCGCAAGAAAAAGTTCTAGTAAAATCCCAGGAACTATCGGAACTATTCCTGGGAAAAGTACTCCGGTGTGAAAGCGCCTTTTGTCGAAAAGAAATTCGCAAAATAAAAAAACCCACTACTTTTTAACTTGTTTTTTTTGTAAATGTATTTCTTTAGTCTCAGAATATCAAAGTCGTGAATTTACGTAAACAATTATTAGAAAAGAATCAGAACATTTATAAAGTTTGGAAGTCATAATTATGCGGAAAAAAAGACAACAAAAAATCAGTTCAATTTATAAAAAAAAACGTTTTTCCTGAAATGTGGATATTATAGGATTAAATCTATGTAGAAAAGAAAAAGTCACTACATTTAAAAAACACTCATAACTTTCTACCTTGTTTTTTTTTCTAAATGTATTTCTTTATTGTCTCAGAACATAACACAAAAATCTCACAAATCCACCACTGTCCCAATATTGTAAATTCTAAGAAGTTGGAATGAAACCAATTAGTAAAACGGGAAACGGTGCACTGAGGTTAACCCAAGCTTGTAATGTATTACTTTATAACCTCAGAGAATATTGAAGTTAATGCTTGTAAAGTCTCGACTTGCGTAAAGAAATGTCCCTGTGAGGGATTAATAAAGTATGTCTTCTTCTACCTGTTAATAAAGTTGATTGATTGATTGATTACCTGTGTTGCAGGTGTCCTTCATGAGGCGGCAGCGGTCTTTAACGGACGAGGCGCTGCGACCGAGAGCCGAGCCGATCGTCGCCCAGTCGTTCCCGTGTTTCTCCCTCAGCCTGAACACAGGAAACAGAAACAGAGACTCAGGTAACGTTTGACAATATATGAATGTTTTTATGTTAAAATACGAGACGCAAAGGGTTCACTCACACTCTGAGCTTCTCGATCTCATCGGGAGTATACCTTAGGGAGAGAAACTCAAAATGTTATAATATATCAATTAAGAAAAAAGGAGAAAGCAGGAGTTATTGTTGAGTTTTAGGCATTTTCAGACCAGAATAACCAACTTGTTTTTTACTTATAAGAAGAATAATTATACATTTTATTTATATAGCGCTTTTCCTAGACACACAAAGATGCATTGACATGTATTTAGAAGAAAAATAAGATTACAATTAAGAATAAAAAGCCAATTTAGTTTGATAAAAATGAATGAACAGAAGAATCAAAAACAGTGTTTAAGAAAAAAAAATATATATATATTTCGGAGGAAAAATAATAAAAATACAAAAAAAAAAATGTATTCAGAAAGATTATCTATAGAGCCTCAATCTGCTGCACATAAATGTGCGATGTCACTGTGTTCCGTAGTGATGTCACTGTGTTCCTTAGTGATGTCACTGTGTTCCTTAGTGATGTCACTGTGTTCCGTAGCGATGTCACTGTGTTCCGTAGGGATGTCACTGTGTTCCGTAGCGATGTCACTGTGTTCCTTAGCGATATCACTGTGTTCGTGATGTCACTGTGTTCCTTAGCGATGTCACTGTGTTCGTGATGTCACTGTGTTCCTTAGCGATGTCACTGTGTTCCTTAGCGATGTCACTGTGTTCCGTAGCGATGTCACTGTGTTCCGTAGCGATGTCACTGTGTTCCGTAGAGATCTCACTGTGTTCCGTAGCGATGTCACTGTGTTCCGTAGCGATGTCACTGTGTTCCGTTAGCGATGTCACTGTGTTCCGTTAGCGATGTCACTGTGTTCCTTAGCGATGTCACTGTGTTCCTTAGCGATGTCAGTGTATTCCGTAGCGATGTCACTGTGTTCCGTTAGCGATGTCACTGTGTTCCTTAGCGATGTCAGTGTATTTCGTAGCGATGTCACTGTGTTCCGTAGTTATGTCACTGTGTTCCGTAGTGATGTCACTGTGTTTCTTAGCGATGTCACTGTGTTCCGTTAGCGATGTCACTGTGTTCCGTTAGCGATGTCACTGTGTTCCGTTAGCGATGTCACTGTGTTCCTTAGCGATGTCACTGTGTTCCTTAGCGATGTCAGTGTATTCCGTAGCGATGTCACTGTGTTCCGTAGTTATGTCACTGTGTTCCGTAGTGATGTCACTGTGTTTCTTAGCGATGTCACTGTGTTCCTTAGCGATGTCACTGTGTTCCGTAGCGATGTCACTGTGTTCCGTAGAGATGTCACTGTGTTCCGTAGCGATGTCACTGTGTTCCTTAGCGATGTCACTGTGTTCCTTAGCGATGTCACTGTTCCGTAGAGATGTCACTGTGTTCCGTAGCGATGTCACTGTGTTCGTGATGTCACTGTGTTCCTTAGCGATGTCACTGTGTTCGTGATGTCACTGTGTTCCTTAGCGATGTCACTGTGTTCGTGATGTCACTGTGTTCCTTAGCGATGTCACTGTGTTCCGTAGCGATGTCACTGTGATGTCACTGTGTTCCTTAGCGATGTCACTGTGTTCCGTTAGCGATGTCACTGTGTTCCTTAGCGATGTCACTGTGTTCCGTAGAGATGTCGCGATGTCACTGTGTTCCGTAGCGATGCCACTGTGTTTTAGCGATGTCACTGTGTTCCGTAGAGATGTCGCGATGTCACTGTGTTCCGTAGCGATGTCACTGTGTTCCTTAGCGATGTCACTGTGTTCCTTAGCGATGTCACTGTGTTCCTTAGCGATGTCAGTGTATTTCGTAGCGATGCCACTTTGTACCGTAGAGATGTCACTGTGTTCCTTAGCGATGTCACTGTGTTCCGTAGAGATGTCACTGTGTTCCGTAGCGATGTCACTGTGTTCCGTAGCGATGTCACTGTGTTCCGTAGCGATGTCACTGTGTTCCTTAGCGATGTCACTGTGTTCCGTAGAGATGTCACTGTGTTCCGTAGTGATGTCACTGTGTTTCCGTAGAGATGTTACTGTGTTCCGTAGCGATGTCACTGTGTTCCGTTAGCGATGTCACTGTGTTCCGTTAGCGATGTCACTGTGTTCCTTAGCGATGTCACTGTGTTCCTTAGCGATGTCAGTGTATTCCGTAGCGATGTCACTGTGTTCCGTAGTTATGTCACTGTGTTCCGTAGTGATGTCACTGTGTTTCTTAGCGATGTCACTGTGTTCCGTTAGCGATGTCACTGTGTTCCTTAGCGATGTCACTGTGTTCCTTAGCGATGTCACTGTGTTCCGTAGAGATGTCACTGTGTTCCGTAGCGATGTCACTGTGTTCCTTAGCGATGTCACTGTGTTCCTTAGTGATGTCACTGTTCCGTAGAGATGTCACTGTGTTCCGTAGCGATGTCACTGTGTTCCTTAGCGATGTCACTGTGTTCGTGATGTCACTGTGTTCCTTAGCGATGTCACTGTGTTCCTTAGCGATATCACTGTGTTCGTGATGTCACTGTGTTCCTTAGCGATGTCACTGTGTTCGTGATGTCACTGTGTTCCTTAGCGATGTCACTGTGTTCCGTAGCGATGTCACTGTGTTCCTTAGCGATGTCACTGTGTTCCGTAGCGATGTCACTGTGTTCCGTAGAGATGTCACTGTGTTCCGTAGCGATGTCACTGTGTTCCTTAGCGATGTCACTGTGTTCCTTAGCGATGTCACTGTTCCGTAGAGATGTCACTGTGTTCCGTAGCGATGTCACTGTGTTCCTTAGCGATATCACTGTGTTCGTGATGTCACTGTGTTCCTTAGCGATGTCACTGTGTTCGTGATGTCACTGTGTTCCTTAGCGATGTCACTGTGTTCGTGATGTCACTGTGTTCCTTAGCGATGTCACTGTGTTCCGTAGCGATGTCACTGTGATGTCACTGTGTTCCTTAGCGATGTCACTGTGTTCCGTTAGCGATGTCACTGTGTTCCTTAGCGATGTCACTGTGTTCCGTAGAGATGTCGCGATGTCACTGTGTTCCGTAGCGATGCCACTGTGTTTTAGCGATGTCACTGTGTTCCGTAGAGATGTCGCGATGTCACTGTGTTCCGTAGCGATGCCACTGTGTTCCTTAGCGATGTCACTGTGTTCCTTAGCGATGTCACTGTGTTCCTTAGCGATGTCAGTGTATTTCGTAGCGATGCCACTTTGTACCGTACAGATGTCACTGTGTTCCGTAGTGATGTCACTGTGTTCCGTAGTGATGTCACTGTGTTCCGTAGAGATGTCACTGTGTTCCGTAGCGATGTCACTGTGTTCCGTAGCGATGTCACTGTGTTCCGTAGCGATGTCACTGTGTTCCTTAGCGATGTCACTGTGTTCCGTAGAGATGTCACTGTGTTCCGTAGAGATGTCACTGTGTTCCGTAGAGATGTTACTGTGTTCCGTAGCGATGTCACTGTGTTCTGTAGCGATGTCACTGTGTTCCTTAGCGATGTCACTGTGTTCCGTAGAGATGTCACTGTGTTCCGTAGCGATGTCACTGTGTTCCTTAGCGATGTCACTGTGTTCCGTAGAGATGTCACTGTGTTCCGTAGAGATGTCACTGTGTTCCATAGCGATGTCACTGTGTTCCGTAGAGATGTCACTGTGTTCCGTAGAGATGTCACTGTGTTCCGTAGTGATGTCACTGTGTTCCGTAGCGATGTCACTGTGTTCCTTAGCGATGTCACTGTGTTCCGTAGAGATGTCACTGTGTTCCGTAGCGATGTCACTGTGTTCCTTAGCGATGTCACTGTGTTCCTTAGCGATGTCAGTGTATTCCTTAGCGATGTCACTGTGTTCCGTAGCGATGTCACTGTATTCCGTAGCGATGTCACTGTGTTCCGTAGCGATGTCACTGTGTTCCTTAGCGATGTCACTGTGTTCGTGATGTCACTGTGTTCCTTAGCGATGTCACTGTGTTCCGTAGCGATGTCACTGTGTTCTGTTAGCGATGTCACTGTGTTCTGTTAGCGATGTCACTGTGTTCCGTTAGCGATGTCACTGTATTCCGTAGCGATGACACTGTGTTCCTTAGCGATGTCACTGTGTTCCTTAGCGATGTCACTGTGTTCCGTAGCGATGTCACTGTGTTCCTTAGCGATGTCACTGTGTTCCTTAGCGATGTCACTGTGTTCCGTAGTGATGTCACTGCAGTGTTTCCCCACATTTATTAATAAATACAAATAAGAATGAAAAACTGTGTATTTATGAGAATAATAATAAGAAAAATAAAATTGAAGATATTTGAAAAAGAAAAGTTACAATTCTAATATAAAAGAATAAAAGACTATTCCCTAAAAAAAAGGTTAAAATAAACAAAAAGTCAAAATAAATGTTTTTCCAAAACTCTTAAAAAGTTCCCCCTTAGTGCCAACTCTTTGCACGAAGAAGATTTAATAATGAAACTCACTTCCCGACGTGGTTCCGGTTGTCGTACATGCGGAGAACTCGTCTGTAAATGGCGAACAGCGGCCGGTTTAATCCGAGCGCCACGGAGCGATAAAAGTCCTTCCTCTCCTCTTTGGACATCTCGAAGATTATCTCTGCAGGATCCTCGATGCCTCGCGCCTGAAACACAACACACACACACAGGTTTTATTGTCATGCACAGAAGCTACAGAGTAGAAATGACATTCTTCTGACCTGAGCTCCTCCAACAATGCAACATATATAATAAAAGATAGTATAATATTTACAACGTGGGAGATTCAGATTCAGAAAGTGTTTAACCGTACCTTCACGTATCGATCGATGTTGTTCATCAGGATGTCGATCTCCTCTTTCGCCCACATGCCCTGCTTCCACTTGTGACCTGAAGACAGGAAATGTTCAAATAAAGACTTAACAAGGATTTATTTACTCGTTATAAAGGAATAACTTTATTATGCATGACCCAATTCTTGTGTAAATGAAGAATACAGTTTAATCAATCTACTAAATAAGAAATTACTATTAAACTAGCTACTGTGTTTGATGATATATAAGCATATAAGGGCCGTTGTAGTTAAAGAATAAATCAAATTAAAGAGCAAGGGGGACGGGGAAATATTCAGAGATCAAACTGAAATATTTGGGAATTTAAGAAGTATATTTCAGAGCAAAAACAAAATCCAAAAATAAATAAACTCCGGGATTTTTAAGTGAAATTAGATATATTTATTTATTCAAATTTGCAAAGTGAAGCAAAAAAATCAAACACTTATCCACATTTTTCTCTCATAAATGTGTGAGTTTTTACCATTTAATCTCCAAAATATTCAACTTTTTCTCTGGCTAAATTACAACTTTAATCTTGTACATTTTAAGGATTTTTTTTTTTGTAGAATAAATATGGGGTGGGTGTGTGTGTTACCTTTGTTAGTCAGTGTGTCTTTGTCTTCCTTGGTAGTGAACCAGGCCTGGCTGACAGGAGACACTTCAGACTTCTGATCAGGACAAGGGCAGTCCTCTTCCTCCTCCTGCAGAATCTACACACACACACACCCACACCCACAGAGACACCCACACAGACACCCACACAGACAGACACACACACGTTTCTAAGCCTGTGCGAGGACCATGTGTTTCTACAGGGTTTGTGTGGGCAACAACAACTAAAGTACCACTAGGAGGGGGAAGAGAGTCAGAATATCACTTCAGATTAGAAGTAAATCAAATATTTTACTTAGGTACTTGTGAGGACCTTTTTTGCTGTTACTAGGCTGTTGCTAGGCTGTTGCTAGGCTGTTGCTAGGCAGAAGTGTGTGTATGTTTCAAAGCAGGAAATACAAGTCCAGCATTTTGCAGCCAAAACTAAGCATCATAAAAACAATTAAATGGCACAATTGTATTAAATAAAAATTATAATATTTTAAAATTAAATGTTTGTATCATGAACCTTGAATATTTGTAATTTCACAGAATCAAAGACAACACAAAATATTTCTATGTAGATATTTTCACTTACTCAGGGTTATGTAACTTAAGGGTTGGGTACCGAAACCCGGTGCCATATACGACCGGTACTAACCGGACCGAATGGCAATGGAGATTTCGGTGCCTGAGGTGTCGGGTTACACACAACAGAAGCATCACCGCCACACGTCACCTGCGTGCCATCGCCAAATAACAACATTACACTCGCTCTGATAGCTGCAGGTAGGGTACCGTTAGCTTGTATCTACAAACATGGTGAAAATGCCAAAAGCTAAACAGTCTAAAGTGTGGCTGTATTTCAGTCTAAAAGATTCAAACAGCGCAACATGCAGCAAATGTTTGAAAACAATTGCGTGTAAAGGGGGGAACACGTCCAATTGAATGAAGCACCTGGCGACGCACGGCATACACTTAAAAGCAGAGGGATGCACCGTGTTCGACTGCTTGCGTGACCCAGTGCCAAGCACATCATCCGGCAGGGTGGGCATCCCTGGCCACGGCGATTTGGAGACAATTATTTTTTATTTTTTATTTTTTACATGTTACTCGTTAGACGCTTTTATCCAAAGCGACTTACATACTCAATACTGTGGACAATCCCCACAGGAGCAATTTGGGGTGAAGTGTCTTGCCCAGGGACACAACGACATGCTGACTGCAGTGGGGTTTGAACCTGTGACCCCCTGATCCGAACACCTACGGACAACCCACTACGCCACACGCCCCCCTTTATCCCGGCAAAGTGGAGACTATTGATTATGAAGACAGCAGTGTTTCCTCAGGTTAGTAATGTAACGTTGATTTCAAGTCTTGCATGTATACTAGTACAAAAATAATTTGTAAAATATTGAAGATTTATTTGTGTATTGGCAAAGAAGGCCAATTTGACTAAAGACAAGGTGAATGAATTACACAGGGCTGTGACCAAATGTGTGGTCAAGGGACTGCATCCTTTTCCACTGTGGAATCTCCACGGTTCAGCTCCTCTCCTCCCACTCCTCTCTCTTCCTAGTTGGCGCCAGACTGCTGCTTTTTCATCAGAGGTCAAACGCCTGCGACATCCTTTTACACCTGAAACAGAAATCACAAATGTAAAAGAGGTCGTCCTCACTGTTGGAAAAATTATTCAGTCCAGCAAATGTATTTATATTATTGATGATTGTGCTTTTGAGTGTATGTGCTTGGTGGCAGCTTGGTGGTATAAAAATCTCTAACAACTGTTATCTCTGTCCTCTGTAAGCATCAAAACACACATTTAAATCAAGCTTAAATAGAAGTTAGTGCCTTGCTAAAGGGCAGGTCAAGCAGAAATAGACATCTTGACTTCTTAAATGTGTTTCTCTATAGATTGTGTCTTCATATTATGGATATTGAATATAATCCTGTTGTGAGTACATGAAATGTACCTGCTGTCTCAGCCCTCTTTGGCTGCTGCGAGCGTCTCTTGGTGGAGGTCAGAAGGTCGGCTTCTTCTACAAGGAGAGAACAAATCACCTTAGCATTAGCTTTGATTCATCATGCTAACAGATACCAAAGTGTCCCAGCAATAAACTGAAGTGATGTTCATACCTTCTGAATGCTCCATTAGTTCAGCCCTCCTGTTGGACCGCTTTGCATTAGAGGGCCTTTGAGAGAAGAACAGGAAGAGAAATATAAAATATATATATATAACATACTGTATATTATATTATAACATTATATTTTATATTATCTATGACAGTGTGGAGGAAGCACTTCACACTAAGTCTCACATCTTTTATTTTTGTTTTTATAATGTAAATGAAATGTCCAAAATACGTGAAATTAACATGACTCCATAACACTGCATTACGTGATGGGTACACGTATCAAATAACGTGGTGGGGAGGACACGTATCAAATAACGTGGTGGGGAGGACACGTATCAAATAACGTGGTGGGGAGGACACGTATCAAATAACGTGGTGGGGAGGACACGTATCAAATAACGTGGTGGGGAGGACACGTATCAAATAACGTGATGAGGACACGTAATTTGATACGTGTCCTCATCACGTTATGCGGTGTTAGAGTCGTGTTCATTTCACATATTTTTGTGGGACCAGGTTGCTATGGGGCCCGTTGAAAACTGACGCTCAAGGGTACCCAGTGCGAAGTAAGGTGGCGTGAAGGGGCCCTGGCCCCTGACCGATCGTTAATATGTGACGAGTGAGAATGTGTTGGTTTGGCCCATTACCGGCGCTTTTATAAACATGTTATCGAAATGTGCCGACCGAGAAAGTCTGTATTGTGCATACGGGAGCCAGTCTGCAATTCGCGTTGCTCCGGAACAGACAGCCGCCTGCATTCATCCAACTATAGTCCGCCTCACCAACCCCCCCCACCCCTCAAAATAATAACTAATCGGATATACATGATTCAGGTGAGTTACATATTTTGAAATCAAAACGGCGAAATTTCGCCGAAAAACCACCAGTTTGCGGGTGTTTTATATTTGCAAAATAGTTTTGGGAGTTGCATTTTACATTACACATTTACACACAGATTATTGATCTGGTCACAGAAATACTTTTAAGGCAAATCTCCATCCAGTGTAACTTTGAAACCTACACAAGTCTGGTTTAACTTACTGAGAGATGGACGAACACTTTACCTCGAGATAAGCCCCGTGTTTCAGAGGTTAGCTTAGCAACTAGCATAGTCATTGAATGTAAAGTTAGCTAAACAGTGTAATTCAGTTGATTAATATACCAAACGGCCAGCCCACACTTAATTTACCAAACACTTTTCTTTAGACTAGCTTAAAACATGAACATTGCCTTACCTTAACTACTTGTACAATTGTTTAATGGTCTCCGGTTCTCTCCCGTTTTACATCTCGTCCTGTCGCTGCTGCATCCGCCTGTTCCGGTAGTAGAGTGTTCCAATGATGCGATCAATGTCAATACGAGAGTACAATACTAAGATCCACATCGTCCGTTGTAAAACTTGAAATAATTCAAAAATGCCACACGAGGAGGAAGTCGCTCTTAATGAAAATCTTGACTGTATTTAGACATTTTAAAACGATGTTTAATCTTGAAATAATGACTCCAACATGAGGGACTCCAGCAGTCTTGCACGTTTAAATAATGTTCCTAATCCTATTCTCAGTGTGTTAACCATGGTTTAATCCAAAATAAGAAAAGTCTCAGAGGAACATATGCCCCTTTCACACCAAAAACCAGTTCGGCTTTAGCTCCGTGCTGGTGCTTTGATGGCTCGGAGCCCGTTTGCAGTTGGGAACCTATTATGGCGCGTTTCCACTACAGCGCGGAGCACGGTTTAAGAGGGCTGTGACGTCAGCGGCCCGTTTTTGGTTGCGTTTCCACTTGGCCTAGTACCGGCCGGCGGGTCCTAATTCACAGTTTTTCTGGCCTCATAAAATCGCGGGTCAAGGGCCAGAGACAACGAGGCTGAGTCGGGCTGAGTATGCTAAACTAGAGAGAGCATCGCTGGCAAGGGGGCTACAACTACAACAAGATGGACATATTTGACCGTGATTTAATTGTAATACACGTTTCAAAATGATGCCGAAGTAACAACATACTGATACCGGTTAGTAAAAACCATGAATTAATGCTTTGACAAGTCTGCAGACAGACGGCAGGCGAAACACCTTTTAAAATGCGTGTTTTCTGAATGGAGATTGGCTAAGCTAACGCAGTATATGCTCCGACCGTCCACACTCACAACAACGGCCTATACAGACATAAATAAAGCAGCGACTGTATTCTCCATGACACAAGCAGTCTGTGGTTTGTACTTGTTTAACTTTTGTCTAGTTTCTGAACATATATGAGGAGCTGTGAGCTCTGAGTGCTAACAGCTAATGGCTGTGTTGTTTTTCTGGGGTTCTCTGAAGATCACGTCACGGCTCCGCCTACACTGCGTTACTATAGATACTGCCCCAGTTCCTAAAACTGTAATGGAAATGCGCCATAAAGTGAGCCAGTCCTAACGAGGCCTAGCCATACCGAGCGAGGCCGAGCGAGGCCGTGTAGTGGAAACGCACCATTAGTTTCACACTGCCCAGTTCCCGAGTGGAGCTGCGTCATTGCGTCATCGTTTACGACCCTCCTTTATAAAGCCACGAAAAACCTTAACGGAACAACAACAACAACAGTGGATTGTATCGGAGTTGTGCTCATCTTGCTTTTGAGAAACAAAGTAGAATTACAGTAGGAGAGCCAGTAACAACTATTTTGATAATCGATTAATCTGTTGATTATTTCTACCATTAATCGGATAACAACGCGCCAAAAATAGTTTTCCATTATTTCAATCAGAAAACTGCATTTCCAAATGGACAACAAAACACACAAAAACAGAACAGACACGGAGCTAGAAAGGAAATAAGAACCGTTCTAGCTCCGTGCTGGTGCTAGAACGGTTCGCAACTTTGAACCAGTTTGCTTTTGTAGCCCTGTAGGAGCTACGTCATGACGTCACCGTTTAAGCCGCTACGTATATTGTACATATTATCAACAATGGCGGCCTACTAGGAGCTGACGGAGCCATACTTAATGTTGCTCCTATACTTACGAAGCCAAATTGAATTGAAGAACCACCTATGCACTTTTATACACAAAGTTTATGGCTTATTACTATTATCCAGATTGACGTAGTAAACTTTTAGCCACAGTTTTAGCAGCATTTGCCGAAAACGGCAGTGGTACGCCGCTTGTGTCATAGCAGCGTTTTAGTGTACCGTTTACTAACGGGAGCTGCCGCTGGAAGTAATAATTCACTCTCTGACTGTCACACAAGCAACGTCCCCCTGATCCATATTCCCAATAAATTCATATTATTGTTCAGTTTAAATGTAGGATTTGGAAACATAGTGCCGAAAAGGGTTTCTGGATAGCGATAGCCACCGCAGTAGGTCTCTCTAATCAATAACACTGTTGCATCTACCGTTTTTTACCCGCATATTTTTCACTTTGATCTAACTTGGGTTTTTGCCCGATATCACAACATGTTTTAGCCTAAGGATTGTGCCGCTGTTTAAGACTGTTACGCCTCGTTTCCACATACGTGTGTACACGGAGGAGCACCAACCGGAAGTCCATTCGCTTCCCGTCTGATGAAAGGACCAGGAGTGGCTGGATCAAGTTAGCTACCTAGCTAGTAGCAAGCACGTTAGTTAGCATTACAGCCTTAGCCTTGTCATTGTTATTAGCCTTAACATGAAGTCACATTAAGTAACCCAAAATGTTAAACAGTAAGAGTAGTAGTCATATTTCGTGAACCCTTTGAAGAGTACTGTCACACACCGGTGTGATAATTCTATAATACACCGTTTAAACCCGGGGGAGAAATGCTAACGCTAACGCTACAATTAGCATCGGCGATCTTTTCTACTTCATGCTATCTGCACAAATGGTTGACATTAAACATTAAAAAGATCAGGCAGGTTCAGGGAGAATCGAAGGAAGGCAGGCAGCTTTGCATGACATTCTTCTGGACGTGTTTCATTGTGGTGATGGTGAGGGTAGTCAATCCCTTTTTTGGGCAAGACAGTAGTGACGGCCAATCTTGGTGAGCGTGTGTTGTTGTGCGAGACCAAAGAAGTAGTTCATTGAAGCGTTTCACCACAAAAAATTGTGTTACTTCACAGTTTTTACGGCACATTTGATTTTTTGACTTTTTATCTTTTAAATTGACAAACATCATATGTGTAATTCTGGGCACAATTAAAACGGGAATCGAAAGATAATCTTCTTTCAGCCATATGGACTTCACTACCATACTGTTCCGAAATAAGGTCCCATTGGGAGGGTCCACCGGAAGGGGAAGGGACTTCGCCTCTCTATTAAAAAACTCTAATATGTTATAATTGGGAGCAAATCAGTATCCAGGTTCCAAAAAAAATGATAATGAGGCAGAGCTCATTTGAAACTGGTTTGTTATAGGACTGCAACTAGAGAATTTTAAGTTATTTCAGCAAATTACTTACTCCAATCAATGTTTAGGACTTTAGATCAGTTTTATTTAAATTTAAACTAATATAGACTTTTTTTTCTTTTTTTTAAATGTACTTAGTTATATTCCAACTATGTAAGCAATTATATCAGTTGTTTTTAGTATTAGTCATTTTTATTGTAGTTCTAATTATACATTTTTCATCAGTTGCACTGGAATTCTTTGTTCACGGTTTCATTTTAATAATACCTTATAATGTAATTTGTAGAAAAAATAAACGTAATCTTTTCTTAAAATATATATTTTCTGTTTTGTTCTAGTTTAAATGTACTGCATGTCTCTAGTTTATAGTTTGTTCCTCTGCAGCCTTACTGTCATGGTCTCACATGACTGAAATTAGCCAATCAGAAAATTCCACCTGCCAGTCCACCTGTTTTTCCTGCAATGCCCTATAGGGGAGCCCAAGAGCGCTGGCCGACACACACTTTTCTGAGTTTTCTATGTCTATGAGGACAGTTGCCGACACACTTTCACACACTTTTCTGAGTTTTCTATGTCTATGAGGACAGTTTCCGACACACACTTTCCTGAGTTTTCTATGTCTATGAGGACAGTTTCCGACACTAACACTTTCCTGAGTTTTTCTATGTCTATGAGGACAGTTTCTGAAATTCACACAGAGAATTCAATTAAACCAAATAGCTCACCTAGAATTTTCAAGCATTTGCTTGTGTGGACCGGCCAAAAGTCCCACAAAAATAAATGTCCTCACAAGTAAGGTTTGTATGTCAGGGGTTGGTCCACACAAGATACAACCAAGAATAGGAAAACAAACACACACACACACACACAAACACCAACATACACACAAACACACACACACCCTAAGTTGAGAGTTTAAGTGATGAACTTGAAAAGGTTTGGTTAATTTAGGATGTAGAAGAAGTTGATCACCTGAATGTGATCGACTTCTTCATCAGAGAGATCAGCGTCTGCTGTTGCCGTCATCGTCACCTCGAAGCCGTCATCGCTCTCTGACACTGAGAAGAGGAAGATGTTACAGATACCAGGTAAACAAGTACTTAAAAAGGGGCCTATTCTGCTCAATTATCAGGTTCATATCAGTATGTAGTGTCTCTACTTTAAAGAGTCCTCTCCTGCTGATGTTCAGGGTGTAATCAGTAATGTATGTCCTCTACTTAAAGAGTCCTCTCCTGCTGATGTTCAGGTGTATATCATATTAGTGTCTCTTACTTTAAGAGTCCCTCTCCTGCTGGTGTTCAGGTGTAATTCAGTATGTAGTGGCTCTACTTTAAAGAGTCCTCTCCTGCTGATGTTCAGGTGTAGATCAGTATGTAGTGTCTCTACTTTAAAGAGTTCAGCTCTCCTGCTGATGTTCAGGTGTATATCAGTATGTAGTGTCTCTACTTTAAAGAGTCGCCTCCCTGCTGGTGTTCAGGTGTATATCAGTATGTAGTTCTCTACTTTAAAGAGTCCTCTCCTGCTGATGTTCAGGTGTATATCAGTATGTAGTGTCTCTACTTTAAGAGTCCTCTCCTGCTGATGTTCAGGTGTATATCAGTATGTAGTGTCTCTACTTAAAAGAGTCCCTCTCCTGCTGATGTCTCTACTTTAAAGAGTCCTCTCCTGCTGATGTTGAGGTGTATATCAGTATGTAGTGTCTCTACTTTAAAGAGTCCTCTCCTGCTGATGTTGAGGTGTATATCAGTATGTAGTGTCTCTACTTTAAAGAGTCCTCTCCTGCTGATGTTCAGGTGTATATCAGTATGTAGTGTCTCTACATGTCTCCATGCTTTGATGTTCAAAAAGCTCTTTAGTGTTCTCATACTGCCTGTGCAGCAGCACCTCTTTTCACCCTCTGTCTGAAACCAGAGCCCGGTCTGCTCTGATTGGTTAGCTGGCCGGCTCTGTTGTGATTGGTCAACAACTTAGACATGTCCCGCCCCTTAGCCTATCACGTACAATGTGTTGGAGCGCTAGCCAATAGGAGCGTCGAATGATGTCACTATGTTCCGGAACTTTGGATTTTAGCCCTTTTTCAGACATGCACACAAACCTATAGAACACACTACAGGAGAGGGAAACCCCAAAAAAGCAGAATAAGGCCTCTTTAAATGTACATTTTACACACTGTGTTTGTGAGATAAATGTATAAAGTGTTTTTCTCACTGGGTAAAGTGACCACTGAGAATTCAGCAGCGTCCGAGTCGTCCTGGTTCTTCTGAAGAGAGACGCATCTTCTTCTGAAGGGGCTCCGAGTCCCTCGTCTAAAAACACACCACACATACGTATTCAATCTTCTGTACTATCAACAATTGTGAATTAAAACGTACAGAGAGTGTGTGTGTGTGTGTGTGTGTGTGTGTTAGTGTTCAGTTAGCAACAAATGTTCTGTACTATCAACAAATATTTCCTAGATTATTGAGTGCAATATAATATGTTTTACATGTGCAATAATGTGAATTAAACTGTTGTGTGTGTGTGTGTGTGTGTGTGTGTGTGTGTGTGTGTGTGTGTGTGTGTGTGTGGTGTGTGTGTGTGTGTGTGTTTGGCAGTAAAGAGGTCAGTTAGCAACAAATGTTCTGTACTAATCAACCAATTATTTCCTAGATTGAGTGTCAATTAATATTTTCTATGTGCAATAATGTGAATTATACCCTAAAGTGTGTGTGTGTGTGTGTGTGTGTGTGTGTGTACGCACCGTTGTGAGGACAGTGCAGGATGTCTCTCTCCTGGCTGAGTGCGACTGACTTGGCGGTTTCTATCGCTGCAGCTTCCTCCTCTTCCTCCTCTTTCTCCTCGGCTGCTGAGCTCATCCTGCACCTGAGAGGAAGGAACATCAAATATATAAAACACAGAGTCATGATAACAGGAAGGGAAGCTCGAGGCTACTGTAGTTCAAGTTTTTAATGTGACGTTAAAAAAAGCAGAAGTCGCAAAAGACAAATATTTTAAATACAGATACACCTGAACCAGGGTTTCCGCTAGGATTTTTTCTTGCCGGTCAAATGTCCGGAAAGAATTTGAAACTTACCGGTCATGTTTCAATAATAATAATAAGAATTGTGTAGCAGAGTTTCCGTTAGCAGGTAATTACCGGACTATGACCGGATATGCTGATGTTTAAAACTCAGTTAATGGAGCTCATTTTTATATTGCTTCAGTTTATAATTGTTATCATTATTACATTCAAACAAACTACTTATAGTAAATGAAGTACATTATTCAAAAGTTTACATTAACTTTGGATAATAACGGGAGGAGAGAGAGAGAGAGAGAGAG